AAACTTTCTAAAGGGGTTATATAGGGAACTACATAAGGGAGTATTATAGGGGTTATTAACAGGGATACTAGGAGTTTAGACTATAGCCGGATGTTTGTCATCTGGGCTGCCTTGTACCACGCTACGGGAATGTTTATTGGTGGCCCCCAACCCCCCACTTGTGATGCAAGCACTGGGCCACCAGCCGTAGTACTGGGTACATTCCCCCCTCGCGCCTCCTCTAGCTAGTTTGAATAACCTGTTTGCAGGCACAGATAATGCAGCTGCTCTGATGGTGTTCCTACTCTCTTCTCGTAGATGCAGCTGCACCATAGTGCCGTAGCGGCTTGCTGCTGTTGTCACTACATTACTGGTGCTGTCCTGCATCGTAGCGTGACACAATAATCTGATTCAGGTATGAGTTCGGCAGAATTGGGAATGCCTGAAAGCAAACATTGCGTCCGCAGCCTTGAGAGTTAGCCTGATAGAACCATCACTACTGTAGACTTTTGATTAACAAACCCCTTCCTTTCAAGGACCTTAATATTGGGATCCCTATTACAATCCCTATCAAGCGGAGTGGGTTTATTAATCAGGGGTCTGGGTTCGCTTGCTTCTGAGGTCCATGGAAATCTGAGCTGCACCGTGCAGTTCCAAGTCCAGGTCCTGTCTTCGCCAGTTATCATGAAGTTCTTGGCGTTCAAGTCTCGGTGAACCTGTGCCGCTTCTTGTGTTTCTGAAGGGAGGGGACCTCATGCCACTCCTCCTACATAGCGCGGCTGAGCCCACGACAAAGCCGTGGGCATGGCAGCACAACACGGACTTTAAGCACTGCCTGTCAGAGAACAGGGCCATTGACCAACGCTCTTGGGGCATCACGCAGTGTAACACGATCAATAGAGTAGGAGCGCGCTCAAACCTCCAACTTGATGCACTTTCTCTGCATAGAGGGAGCGGTTGATTGGCCTTTGGCCTCGTAGTACAACTCTCTCGCCTCTTCGGGGGCTGGAGCTTTTGCGAGGCACATGAGCCGTGGACAAGTCTGCCACCAGACACCTTGATCAGCCCCTGCAAATAATGGTTTTCAACAAAAAGTATCGGGCTCACATGCCTCGAAGCAACTTCAAGGAAAGCCATCATCTCCTATGTTGAAGGAGGATGGCCATGGGAATCAGGGGACGCAAACGTCTGTGTGCTCACCTCCCGTTGCGCATCCTCTGCAGCCTGAGTTGTGGACGCTCTGACTTCAGGATCGCGACGCACTGGACTATGCACATGCTGCTGATGTGTACTCATAGCCTGGCACTCTGCTCACCATGTCGTACTTGTGTGCCATGTTCTTCATACTCACAGTGCACAGTGCAACAACCGTCCCGAGATGCAAAGCAGCTCAACCAAGCTCTGGGCATGTGTCAAACTTTCTGCCGTCTTTTGCTTCGGCGACCTTCCTTCCGCACCTGCTCGCTGCAAACCTACAAGTCCTGCGTAAGAAGTTGACTGTCGGATTTCTCAAGCACCATCAGTCACGACCTTGTGTTGATAGCATCATTCTTCTTGTATCTTCTTGCTCATAAAAAAGGTGGATATGAATGGGGCTCGTGCCTGGTAGATAAGAGCATGGCGCATCGCTCGGCTGATTCTGCGTGAGACTAAGACTCCCAAAACCCCGAGAAACGTACTCTCCCTGCACACAGTACGCTTTTCCTCAAAATCTGTGGCTGAGCTGTCATCAAAGCTCGTGCAATGGCAGACTTGTCCAATCGTAAAATGCTGCCGTAAAACCCTAGCCCCCAACACCTTGAAAAAACGACTTGCGTCAGACCTTGCTGATCCAAAGTATCCAAAACCAAGTTGACTATAGTCCTGCCCAGTTTGTTGAGCTAGATCTTGCTGGGGACCTACTCTCGAGGCTCGCAAAGGTTTGGGATGAGTTAGCTGTACAGCTGACAGGAATGTGTCAGCCGTTGTTCATTTCCGCTTCTTGTGCCTGGGAGTCTGGGCATCGGAGGGTACAAGCGCTCAGGGCTGGCAGCTTGGGTATCTGACGAAGCTTCAGAGGTGCATGTCTCCATGCTTGCACCCTTCCTTATATTAATTCCATTTCGCTGCCGCTCTTCTCTCTTGGCTTCCGTACCTTTGAATGAGTCGTGCCCTCTTTGAAGCAGAAGCACGTCCATGTAGCTTGGGGGTGCCAAGCAGTTTGATCTGTCCCAGACAGAAACCTCACCCTCCCTCAGTGCAATTTAACCTCCAGCTTCATGCAATTAGTTTTTGATACCAATACTCAGCTGACCAGAGAGCCAATATCCCTTAATTAGGGAATAAACTCCAAATCATACTAGGATGCCTTCTATGAGTTAGGGTATGTTCCCAAATTAGGGACGGGGGTTCTGGGTAAGGAATCAGATTCCCTGGAAGCCGCGACGACGAGCCTCATCCTGCATAAGCCCGGTGCCACTGGCTCGTTATTTTCATCCTGCACAGCCGTGCGAGTCATGATGCTTTAGACTACGTAAGCCTGAGCAGAAAGATCTGTAGCTTCCCGTTGATTTACTGGATTGCTGTAGAAACCTGAGCACTTAAGTCAAGAACTTTTGGGCACCTACATCTAGCGCAGAGGCGACCTTGGATGTGCATTGGAACTTCTACTAATATGTGGGCTACGACCAATGAAAACAATGCGGTAGCAAGATTCCTATTCAACGTAGCCCCAGATGAAAGTTGGTTTGAATGCCTCACTCAAGAATTGTTGGGCTGACGTTCGCAGACTTGGAATACAGACAGGCACCTAACCATGACTTCTTACTGCAATTCCCTAAATCCATCTGTACCTAAGGTTTGGGAAAGCATCGGAGATTGATGAGCGCAAACTGCTCTAAACCGGCATGGTTTGCCCTGGCTCTCGGGATTCCCGGCAGTCACGGCCTGCGACATGATGGGGCGCATGCACCCACTGCTCACCGATAGGACTACGTACAAGTACCATGTATGTTGCCCCCGACCCACCTGACTGTGCTCATCACGGATGCCGTTGAGCTTATCATTAACACTGCTGGTGCTGCTTTTCTTACTGTTTGTCCTGTTGCACAACCCCTGCCACCCAATCCTGCTTTCCGCAAAGCGCATCGTGCGCACCGCTGGCGCACATGGGGCAGCAAGTGTCGTAGGGCCGCCCGGAAGCATGATGACCAGGATTCACTGGGCGCCCACATCCATACCTCAGCTATTGGGAACTCATGCAACCTTGCATGAAGGCCATACGGGGTGCACCATGCACCCACCTCTGTAGAACAAGCAACGCTCAAAAGCAGGCACAAAATTCTCGACCAAGCCCAGTTCTTTTTCTTTCTCACAAAGCCAGGATAGAACGCACAGCTGAGCCTCGCACTTGCAAAGGCCCGGGCCGAGGTTTTTTGCGTCGATGTTGCCTCAGTAGCCACCAGTCTCGCTCCCCCATCTTGGCATTGGCCCACACCCACCTAACCTTTTGGTGCAATCCCTCCATCCTTGATTCCATGTAGCTACCCCCACAGATCTGCAACTATACTTCGCTATAGTGCATGCCATTGTGGCCAGGAAGCCACATCATCTCTAAACCCTGAACTCATTGCATCCAGGAAGCCACATATCAGACCATCCAGAAACCCTGAACCCTAAATCTAGATCCTTACAGCCATCTGCAGCCTTGAGGCAACATATCAAATCATCCCTAAACCCTAAACCCTAAACCCTCAACCCTACATATCCCCTATAATCTCCTCTACTCCTGACACCCGAAACTCAAGGCTTAGACTGCCGTAAGATGGTAGGCAGCGCTTATGACCCTTGCCCAAGACGATCACCTGGGGGCTTCCAAAAATTATAGGGGGTTATATAGGGGTATATAGGGGTATATAGGGTTATATAGGGGTATATAGGGGTATATAGGGTTCAGGGCTTCCCAAAATATGTAGGGTTCAGGGTTTCCCAAAATCAGAAGTACCTTTCTTGGGAGCCCCAATAGTAAGGTTTCTGATATATTGGTGTATATATTGGGTGGCATAGGCATCAAAAAAAATTGACAAGGCATCAAAAAGAAATTTGATGAGCATCAAGAAAAAAATTGACAAGCATCAAAAAGAAATTTGAGCGTTTCAGCTTGACTATTCTTACTAATATTGTTACTATTACTATT